CCCCAAAACCCCAAAACCCCAAAACCCCAAAACCCCTTTTTTTGTTAAAGTGTTGAAGATTTTTTGATTTAGAAAATATTATAAAATTTAGCAATCTTCTTTCTTTTTGCATCCTAATGTGGAGTAATAATCCTTAGTAGGCAACATAAGTATGTCATTGGAAGAAATGATTTCAAAGCTTGCCTCAAGGTCTTCTTGCTGCTCTTCATTCTTTGTATTAAACTGGTTGTTAGTGGCCATAGAAAGAGTAAGTCCTTCAGGTTTATCAATGATGCTATATTCTATCAGCTCAGGGTCTGCCCTCAGCTTAGCACTCTTAGGAATCTTTTCTGAATTAGCTTTATTTAGAAAATTTTGGCTTAATTCTCTATTTAACTCAGCTGGGCCGGTTTCATTAGAAGCAAAAGCAAGTGAAGAAGTATCTTGTTGTTTATTCTCTTCCGTCACTTCCTCAGTGTGGTTGCTAGGAGAGGTGATTTGAGCATGACCCTCGTAGAAAGAAGGCACTGAATGTGGCTCTTCTTGGGGTTCAATAGATTGAGTAGAGGGAGAAGGTTGTTTTGGAAATCCAAAGTGAGATGAAGGCGGCCTTTTAGGAGAAACCTGATCACCTTGATTTGAAATTTTCTGAGGGCTATCACTTTTGTTTTCTTCAACAAATTTATAACCTATTTTATTGGAGTCTGGCTTTTGACAAGCAAATGAAGGAATGCGGTTGATCTCAGGTAGTTTACTTTCTTCAATATCAGCCTGACCATCATCTTCATCTTCTTTCGAAGTTTGTACTGTTCCTCTAGGATTGTGATCTTCTGGAATCTTTTCTTCTTCGTCAGAATCATCTTGAACTGTGAATTCAAAATCAAACTCTCTTGCATCTCTGATATTGCTCTTATAGAGATCTTGAGGCATTTCAGGCTCTTGGATCACAGCCTTTCCTTCCTCTTGTTTCTTCTTATATTTCGTCATGGCTTTAGAATAATGTTGGTTGAATAAGTCACTTTCTCTAGCGTTGAACATCACTGAATTTTTATCTGTTACCTTGAAACTATCTGACGGTGTATCAAAGAAGGAATATTGGTCTGGCCCTCTACTCACGGAGAGATTTATTTTCTCACAGTTATCATCCTCTTGAAAGAATGGATGATCAAGAACATCATCATGAGAAATCCTCCTTTCTGGTTGATGCTGAAGACACTTACTCAAAAGATCAATACAATTGAGAGACAACTTGACATTTTTTGGAACTCCATAATCACCTTTATTTATTCTATTAGCAAGGTCATGAGCATCTTCGCCAATAAATGGAGCAAAGCCAACAAGGAGCTCATATATAATAGTCCCAAGAGACCATATATCAACCTGAGAAGTATATTGATCTCCATTCATAACCTCCGGAGCCATATTGAGAGGAGTGCCACAATAAGAAGTAGTAATTTCGCCACCTTGTACAGATTTAGCAAAGCCCAAATCACCAATAACTATTTCAATGTCTTCCTCTTCGTGATCGAATTCCTCAATATAGACGTCACTGACAGATCCTTTGCCACTGTACTCAGGGAAGTTGACGAGGATGTTAGCAAGCTTGAGATCTCTATGCATGACTCCTTTTTCATTCAAGTAATGAAGTCCAGAAGCGACTTGCTTTATGATCTTTCTGACTAAATTCTCACTCAGTTTGCCATCTTTTAATTCAAGAAGAGTACTGAGATCTCTGCCATTGCAGAACTCCATGAAGATGTAGATGTTATTCTGAGTCTTCTTAGCTTCCAAGAATCTTAGAATATTGGGGTGGTCCATATTCATCATGATGTCAAGCTCTTGGATGAGGTATTTCTTCATTCTCTCTTTGATGGCTTTATGCTTGATCATCTTACAGGCGATTCTGCGATTTTTTCTAATTCTTTGTCTAGTATCAGGGTCAATGTTTTCTTCCTTACGGACTCCTCAGAGGTAGATAATGCCAAAGTTGCCACCTCCGATTTTGTTTTTTAGAAGAAAGTTATCTACAGTTTTCATCTTGGAAATTATATTATAACTATTCCAAGTTTATCGGCTTTTATTGGGGTTTTGGGGTTTTGGGGTTTTGGGGTTTTGGGG